GTTAGGTTTGGGGGGTTTAGGTTTCGGTTTACGCGTTAATTTTAGCTTTACTGCTCACAGCGTGCTTTTTTCGTTGTGCTGTGATGACGTCAGGGACGCGGTTTCATCGAGCGCGCTTTAGTCGACCGCGGTTTTGTGGTGGAACCCATTTGAGGTACTCAGAACTTCTGATTTCAAGCATCTCTGGACACAGTATAGATATGCTGAATTTTCTTTCTTTCTTTTTGCTCCACAGGGTTGTGACAAAAAGATGTACACATTCCTGAGAGGAACTAAGCAGTTGCAGGTGCTTCGATTTCTAGGAATCTCCATAGGGGTTACCCAAATTTTGGCTATGATCCTTACAATTACTTTGGTGTGGGCTCTGTATTATGACCGCCAGGATCCACGCTCAGACCAAATGCTGTCTTTGAGGAAGGATGCCAGTCAACACCTGTCATGTCATTCCGTGGAGTTATTAAAACCCAGCCTGACAAGGATCCTTGAGCATACCACAATGGCAAACAGCTTTAACACACACTTTGAAATGGAGGAACTATAGTGCAATCTGCTAGTCCGTGATTTTTACAATTTGAATATAGCCATCATTTTGGACCCTAGACTATTTTAAGTTATTGTGGCAAAGAGGGCACGGAGCGAAGATTCTCTTAAGGACAATTGTTTTTCTTTTCTCATAAAACCTGTTAGAGTTGTAATGCTAAAAACAATTGGTTTACAGAATAAGGACAATTCTTCATTTTTCACGAGATTGTATGCACCATGTGGAAAGTAGATCACTAGTCTCATAATATTGAGTGGAAAAAAAACAGGCAGGAATAATTTTAGGGATCTCACCTATTTAAAGTTTTCACTTCAACAATTCTGTTAGAATGAGGATGGAAGTGTTCAGTACTGAAAGCTCCACAGATGATAGACTGCCGTAGACAATCAGTGTTCAACAGTTACATCTAATTTAAGTGATTTTTTCCATTTCATTTTCAAGGAACGGAAACTGGCAAGCCACAATTATTGAACATGTTGCATTCAGATCTGCTGCCTTGCAGTTGTTAATCACAGCTGAGAAAACTCTGAACTTGGACCTTTCAGAATCTTAAAAAAAAACCTCTGAAAATACGAAAATCTTATCAGTTTAATCCACACATGGAAAAACAATTCACAGTAGCACTGTGGTCATGGATGTACTGATGGGAATGCCCTTTGATACAGCAATACAATACAATAGCAGAGTTGGAAGGGACCTTGGAGATCTTCTAGTCCAACCCCCTGCAGATGGATGATTTGCCTTTGGAATGTAGCTATCAATGAAATCCAGGCATGAAATCCAGTTGCTTAGCAGTATATCACTTCCCAACACCTGTGTATAAACCTTGGATTGTCCCTCTTGTTTGTGCATTACAACACCAACATCAATGGTTTTTTTTATATCTTAGTCTCATATCATGCAAGCAAATAGTTGATTTGAGCCACAATAAAGGCCCCAAGAACAGCTTAAGGAGAATCCATGGCAACTGTTATTACTAAATAATGGTGGTAATTGCCACTAAAAGATCAGGGATAGATATGTATATAATAAAGTGTGTGTATGTGAAATAGAATTGCTATTGATATGGAAATTTGGATTTTTGTAAAGATGATAATCTTATTTTAGCATCATTTTGTTTAGTTTAAGGAAATAGGTAAATCCTTTAATTTTTAATGACTTATTAATTTTCAAATTAAATTATGTGACTGAAGAAAAAATATGTATTAATACTTCCGTGTATTTGTTTTATGTGACAGGTGTGTGTGTGTGTGTGTGNGAGTGACTGGCCCAAAGCTACCCAAGCCAGCTTTCATGGGCAAGGTGGGACTCAAACCCCACATCTTGCTACTTTTTATTAATTGTTCATAAAGTAATTGTTCATTTTATTAAATTAAAAACGCTAAAGGATTTGTAACAGGTTCACATGAGAATGAGGTGACTAAAAGGTTGGGTTCAGCATCAGCCACCAGCATTTTCCCAATGGATCTAAATCACCCGGTCTCGTCTTCCCTGATCCGCATTATCCCCCCCCCCCTCACTCTTTCTAATCCTTGTTTATAACAGCAACTCCCAGGGACGGCTGCATTTGTCCCACTTGGGTGCCTGTAGGATTTGCCGGGCCTCTGTGACCGAGGTTGATTAAATTAAAAACGGGCACTTCCTTAAGTAAGTCAAGTAAAGGCCACCTCCACTTCCAACCATTTTGAGGGATCTTGGCGGATGAATCGAGGTGGCCGTTAGTCTCTTTCCTCCCCTCCCCACGCAGCAGTGTGAGGGGAGGGCAGGAGGATTAAGAACAAGTCTTCAAGTCTATATGTAATAAACGTGTGAGGGATGAAGATTCTATGTCTGGCTGTCAAAAAGGGGAGACATCACTAAGTACGTCCCCCAGACAGGGGCTTAAAGCTAAATAGATCTATTTCCGTCTGCTGGGCTCCCCTGGCCCAAAGCCACTCTTGAGGGATTAACCTTCATGTGCCAGGAAGACACGAGAAGGGGAGGAATTTGCATTAGAAGAGTGGCAGGGCACCCAGAGCAGGTTATGTGGGTGGATGATTAGGAAGCAGACATGTCCAGAGTTATTTCTGCCCCATTCTTCTCCCTCCCACCATCGTAGGTGCCCCATAGCATGCTTCCAAGTCTGAAATCCACCCAAGGGCTTGAAATTTCTTCACAGTATTCGAATATCTCAGGGGCTGCCACAAAGAAGAGGGGGGGGGGGTCAATCTATTCTCCAAAGCACCTGAAGGTAGAACAAGAAGCAACAGATGGAAACTAATCAAGGAGAGGACCAACCTAGAATTAAGGAGAAATTTCCTGTTCCAGTTAGAACAATTAAGCACAGAACGACATGCCTCCAGAAGCTGTGGAGGTTTTTAAGAAGAGATCCGACAACCACTTGCCTGAAATGTGTATAGGGTTTCCTGCCTGAGCAGGGGGTTGGATTAGAAGACCTCCAAGGTCCCTTCCAACTCTGTTATTCTGTTAGTCTATTATTTTAATCTTATTGGAACTCCTGCTTTCAATCCTAAATTTTGTGACCACGTGTTCACAAAGCCAATATGTTGGTTTCCATTGCTTTGCTGCAGCTACTATTTTGGCCCTGCTCTCTCTCTCTCTGTCTGACGTAAAAATTAAACAGAATGAAGAAATATTTTATTAATAACTCTTCACTTCAATCGGAGAAATGGAAAGGAAGGATTTTTTGGGTTTTTATGCAAGCCATTTGATCTTGAAAATATCTAGTCCCTCCAATTTGGATTCTCAAGCTTTATTATAAGTTCCTACGGCAGGGAAAAAAAATGAAAATGAAAGAAAAAGAAAAACCGTATTTTTCAGAGTATAAGATGCACCAAGATTTTGAAGAGGCAAATTAAAAAGTTTTTGCCCCTCTTCCCCCCTCCCAAAAAGGGCCTTTTTTCCACAAAAGGGGGGGGGGGGAGCAAAAAACAGTNTCCGTGTATTTGTTTTATGTGACAGGTGTGTGTGTGTGTGTGTGTGAGAGAGAGAGAGAGAGAGAGAGAATGTTCACCTTGAGATAATTCTATCCATATGTTTATTTGCTGAAACTTAAGTTAAAAAGGCTATCTATATTGCGTCCAAAGAAAAAGTATTGTAAAAGTATTCCAACTTTTCCCCTACCCTACTTATTTTTCAGTAAGAAATTTGGAAGATGAGTTAACTTCTGAAGTCAATGAGAATAAGGCTTACTTAACTTTGCTTAGACTTTGTACTTAACGTTGTGGAAATATACTGTATATTCATGTATGATTTGGCTCATTTGAATACCACGGAAGTATCTCTTTTGCAGGAATTTTTCTATGGATCACCAGCCACATATTTTCATCAGAATTTGCATATTTGATGGTGGGGTGAGACTAGTAGATGCCTAGCAGTATATAATTTGCATGGATTTTCTTTTTTACTATTTCAGTTTTGTAATCAGGTTAGACAAAATGCTGCTTAGAGAAACCATGATTTGTTACAGTATAACCAGACAAGAGCTATATTTCTATCTTCATCTTACCCTTCTTTGTCTGACTTAAAAGAGAATCTCATAGTTTGTTGAGTTTTTCACAGTCTCCAAGAAAGAAGCTGAATTTTAAATATAGTCTACAAATTAGGATTGTAAATGACAGTTTCAACTTTAATTTCCAAATCAAGATTCTAGAGAGTATGCAAAAAACATTTTCCACTTTAATCATCATGGGAAATTGTAACTTAATAAAACTGTGATTTAATAAACCCGGAGGCTTCCTTACAATCTGAGCATGCAAAGTGGCAGAAGGGGAAAATGAAGAACCCGATATTGATCTCATGACAGTACTTATATCTGCACTTTTGATTTTGTAAGTACACAGCATGGATTAGCTGATCAAAAGGCTAAACAACAGGTTATTTTGAAAAACTATGTTTTTTCCCCTTCAAGTTAAGGAATATGCATGGGAGCCAATCCATATTGGGATTCTGATGTAGGAGAGAAAAAGAGATTAAACTATTTGCTCATGCAATATTTTGATTTGAACATCTTGAGCTCAAAAAGAGGTTCAATAGATAACTTTGATAAATTACCTTTTGGCAATTAGAATGGAAAGAGTGAGGAACAACACAGCAGAAATCAAAGCCTCCTATAAAGAGAGATCCTGATTCCAGTTAGGTTCCTTGTGCATAGGCCATATAAATCTGCTAATTTAATTTTAAAGAAATATCTAAGTTTGTCCTTACTTATGAATTAAAGACATCATCTTTATAGATTGGAAGAAAAAAAAGTTGCAACTATTTTTCATGTTGAATGCTGGGGGGTGCCTTAAATTCCCATGAGACAACTTATTTGTTGAATTCTAAAAAGTGCATCTTACTGTATTTTATATGTACTATAGACTTAATTTTTTTTCAACTAGTTGTATTACTGTTCTGCGTTTTATAAGCAGTCAGTTGAAATTATTGTGTCTCCTGAGGGATATAGTCTGGGTGTCAAAATTAGATATCCTCCCATTGTTCTTTGCAAGTTGAAAATAGAAAAGGACTGGGCTGAAGCAAATGTTTGGAAACTCTAGGTCTTAAGTGATTGACCATGTGCCTTATCTCTCAAGCATGATGCATTGAACTTGTTCTTTTATTCTTACACAATTCCCATCAGTAGCAGCAAAGGATGAAAGTGCCAGGGATAAATGGAAGCTTGTACTCTTGTAATTTTTAAATAGTCCCAGCTTGCTCTGGACTTCATTTTGGGCAAGGAAAACAAAGCCTAATGTGATCAGTAGTAAAGCCATTACTGTCATATATTTTATATTGTGTTGTTCATTCATTGACTCATTAAAAGAATTGTCCTCTAATTTCCTTTTGGCTTTTAATGGGATTTAGCTGTTAGGTTTTTTCCCCCTTCTAACCAGGGATTAATTATGAACCTAGAGCTACCTGCAGCATATTTCTTGGACATTGCTTTGCTAGTCTTTAGGTAAAAGAGGTTTAATTTCTTAGTCAGTTAGCTGAGTGGATTCTGCCTTTTTGAAGTTCTTGCAGACCTCAGCCTGCCATGCTGAGATTGCTGAAATTAAAGATGACTAGTCAGGCCAACGTGCCATCTAAAGCCATTTTCACTTTGCTTATAAAGAGCAGTCAAGGAGAAAGTTGATAAGAGTTTGAAGACAACTCCAATTTGCTATCTTTCCTGTTTGGCCATATACAGTTTCATTGCCCCTACTGAAAAGTGCAAATAGGTGTAGGTGTAGATTATGCATAAGGACAATACGGGTGGGCTTCAAAAATTTCATCAACGGATTCTCTGCTCTGTTCCTGGGTGGGCGTGGCCATGGTGGGTGTGACCTAGTCGCCCTCCTGCACCACGGGGGAGGGCTTTTTCACATTCCCCAGGCTCCAGAGGCTTTGCTTGAGCCTCTGGGAGGGCGGAAACCTCCTCCCTGGGCTCCGGAGGTCTGAAATGGGTCCATTTCTGGCCTTTTGGAAGTTCAGGGAGGCCCATTTCCCCCCTCCCCTAGCCTCCGTGCAAGCCCTGCACTTACCTGTATCCAAAACGGGCCTCATTGGAGACTCTTGGGAGGGAGGAGTGGGCTGGGCCAGCCAGGGGTGGGATTTGGAGGCTCTCTGAACCAGCTATAATGTTAGCTATGGGTTCTCGTGAACCCGGGCGAACCCGTGGCAGCCCACCCCTGAGACTATACTGAGCAGAAAGTTTCCATTTTAGTATTCTTGGGTTTATAAAAATAGAACATAAGTGTGCTGTATATCCCATAGAGCTATGCAATGTTTTGGATCTGATTCTTTAAATGATGTTTTGGAGTATGTGGACATATGAATATATTTTCCTGTAACTGTTTAAAGCTTCAATGTTTTTTCCTCAGGATCATATAACGATTGTGCCCTCTCGTGCTTCAAAATATTTTTGTGTAAACTATCGGTTCCACCACAAAACCACGGACGACAAAATCGCGGTCGACGAAAGCGCGTATGTGACGTCATCACAGCGCGATGAAAAAGATCGAAAAATGTAAAAATAAAGCTAAAACCTTCCCCTAACCCCCCAAACCTAACCCTAAACCTAACCCTAAACCTAACCCTAAACCTAACCCTTAACCTAACGAAAAACCTAACGCTAACCCTTAACCTAACGCTAAACGTAACGCTAACGCTCTAAACCTAACCCTAACCCTTAACCTAACCCTAACCCTTAACCTAACGCTTACCTTTATGTGAATCGGCTTGCTGTAATTTAATTTTTATTTCAATTTTTCAATCTTTTTCGTCGCGTTGTGATGACGTCACATACGTGATTTCGTCGACCGCGCTTTTGTGGAACCGGTTTTGACGGGTCACGAAACTATCAGTTATTTTGATAGCCTTGAACAGAATTTGGTCTTGATGTTTCAAAGGTATGGTACTATGTAAATATATACATATGTAAATACACACACATATATATATACGTATATATATATATATACATACATACATACATACATACATATGCCGTCTTTCTATAAATCTTGGTGTGTGTGTGTGTGTGTGTGGAGTGCTGGCTTTGTTTGGTTGTGTGGCTGTATCATGATTGGTAGATTGGTGCTGGCTGTGTGTCCGTTGTTGTTTTGTGTTGTAACGGCCTGGATGGTGGGTGGGGCTGGTTTCCAGATGTCTGGTAGGTGGGAGGTATCGTCACGTTTATTCATGTTGTGGGGGTGTTTCTCTATTTTGATAGCTTCCATAATTATTCTCTTGTTGAAGTATCCTGTTTTGGAGATTAACCTGGTTCCTTCAAAATAGACAATCCAACAATAGACACACAGCCAGCACCAATCTACCAATCATGATACAACCACACAACCAATCATTCACTTACTGAAATAAAGCCAGCACTCCACACACCCCCACCAAGATTTATAGAAAGACGGCAGCTCCGATCACACTTTAAGCCCAAAACCCAGCCAGAAGATGGCAAGTGAGACCTCGCTGAAATGTTGCCAAGACAATCTCCATCTTACATGGGAAAAGACCCGAATACAACAACACCACCATGTGTGTGTGTGTGTATGTATATGTATATGTATATTGAAGAATAACATTGAATTTGAAGAGAAATTTTACTCAAGGGTTTTCTCCATTCATTCAAGATTATTTGACATATAATTAGGAACAAAATTCTCTGAATGAGGTTATTGCAAAATCAGTTTCCCATTCAAGCATGCAGATGTTTTATTTAAGTACTCGTACCTCTGATTTATTTAGCATAACACATCTTGTTGTACTGTTCTTGTGAAACACAAGACAAATTTTCACCTCCAACAGTAGAAAAAGAAAACACCTTGAATTTTTTTGTGTGACACACAGAAATAATTACATTTAATTTACAGTACAGATGCATTTTACACAGTCGCAAGTCATTCACTACAAAAAAAAAACAGCATTTAAATCACCTAAAACAATGTTTAGCTTCTGCATTTCAGAGAAAACAATAGTAGCTGTGTGATGGGTGGCTAGCATTATGCAAAATTTTACCGAACACAAGAGCAGAGGAGTCAAGACAAACATAATGCTAGACTGTATCCTGTTCTCTAAGTACCGGTGTTCCAGCTTCCCCATTTATGCTCTCAGAGCATTACCGAAGACTAAATTTTTAAATCCTGGAATATCAGAACTGGCTTATAAAGCTCCTAATTTAGAACAGAGTTGGCCTTGACTGAAAAAAATATAGGAAAAGAAAGAGGTAGTAGTAAGGCTGTTGTAGCCATAAATCAATATACCTTATGCACAAGCTAGAGCGATAGGTGGACCCTTTGTGAGACATGAAGTTTGAACTCCATTTCATTGCTATATGTGGACTGAATTCAGCAGGTTAGTGATAAAATCTGTTTCTGCACACAGCTCACCAGGAGCTGTTTGTGACTGTCAGGTTCTGTCTGCAAAGTAGCATCCACAAATGTAATTAATGTACCCGGTGATATTTCAAGAGAAGAAACTGGTGAAAATTGTATTTAGTATTTGGGTATTACTAAAACCCAAAACCCCTACAGCATAAAGTACAAAGAGTGAGTTAGTAATACAAAATATAGCTGTGAGTAGAGATTGTACATTTTGAATTATTGTTTTCCTTTTTATTAACACCCACTGCACATCTGCACGCCTTGCACGGTGAAATGAAGGACTCCTTCAAAATCGTCTAGCATGCTTTATACAAAAAGTCAAGACAGAACTCAGCAGGAGCAAAGATTATCAAAATGGAGAAAAAACTGCTGTGGAAGAGAAAGTTAAACAGTAACTTAAAATATACGTCCATTGAAGAATAAAATAGTCCCGGGGTTTTGGAAGAATAATTTAAGGGAATTACAATGCAAAACAGAACATTCAATAGAATCAGTGTGGGGCAAGGACCTCAAATGCAAATCAATATTAAAATAGTGGTTCTAATAATTGTTATTCTTTATTAAGGTTTATCATAACCAGATGACGGAAAGGGAGGATAAAACATGATATTTTTCACCTTGAGCCTACCTTGTGGCTACATTTTTATAGAAAGTTGGCATGGAGTTGGCATAACCAACTTTAGAGCCAGATGTGGCAGTAAAAAGTGTCAATGTAATAAAAATAATTGCATGGGTGTTTCTATACTGCTGTGGCAGTATAGCATTAAATATTGTGTTTATTTTTCCTTTGAAACAGTCCAATTGAAAGGTATACTGTTCAAAGGGAGAGAGGTTAATTGCTATTGCTATATGATGTTGCATCCATTTGAATTAGTTCTTGTTTGGATTGGTCTCTGAGAAAGCCACCACAGATTCTATTGCAGTTTTGCCTGCTTACCTACCCTGTGGTTTCCCAGGGGAAAATCACCCCTAAACTAATGCAATAAGTCAAGACAAATCCATTCATAGTTATGGGGTGAATATCTTGCCCTAATGCCTGCTCCAGCGCACTGGAGAAATGAGATGCTTTGGGTTGTACCACTGGTCACATAATAATACAAGTGTTGCAGGTAATTTAAACTAGACTGTTTAGAAACAGAGAAGAATGGTCTGATTACCAACATCCAATATACGGACTGTCCTCAACCTATAACCACATTTGGGACCAGAACTTCTATTGCTAAGCGAGATGGTAAGTAAATTGTGCTCAATGTTGTGATCTTTTTTGGTCACAATTGCTAAGTAAATCAATGTGGTTGTTAAGTGAATTGTGATTTTTAAGTGAATCTTGTTTCTCCCATTGGCTTTGATTATCAGAAGCCAGCTGGCAAGATCATGAATGGTGAATCACCTGATCATTGTAAATTCATGACAGCTGGGTGACTTTGGACCAATCACTCACTCTCTCAGTCCAACTACCTCACAGGTCATTGTGAGGAAAATAGGAGGAGGAAGGAGCATCAGATATGTTGTCCATCTTGAACTATTTATAAAAAAATAATAAATATGGGAGAGTTTTTTTTTAAAAAAATAAACAAATTAAAAATAAATGGTGATTGCCAAGTCCACAAATTTTGATCACATGACCATGGGGACTGTGACAGTTGCAAATGCCACAATTGGTTGTAAATTACTTTTTTAGCACCATCATAACTTTGAATGGTGATTAAATGAATCATTGTAAGTTGAGGACTATCTCTATAATTTTTAGTATTACACCAGTGAAGACATTTACAGACATTCTTCCATATCTCAGGTAAAGACATTTCTCAGGTTAAATACAATTTCATATTGGCCCATATATCAATTTCTTTAGAAAGTCTTTCCAGATTTGGTTATATTTTGTCAACTGCTTTGTTTAATAAGGTGAAATAATAGAAAATGATCACATTCCTAAACATAACAATAACTGATGAAACAGTTGAAGAAAGTTGGGTTTTTGAAACTGGGTTTTTGAAAAAGCAGCATTTTAAAAATCCTTTAGATAGTGAAACAAAAGACTACATGATAAAATATATGTACTGATCCTATGGTAATACACTCTTGTAGTTCTGATCTAAAGTTTTAATGTCAACTGTTATCCATTTTAGAATATTAGACATCCACGAAGGGAAATACTTAAAAAAGTAAAGATGGGGCTAGTCTTGCAATGGTGCCTCATGCAAAAAAGGGGGCAGGCCTTGATGATGTCATGGTGGCCATCTTGACTTTTTCAAACTTCACTATGAATGCACCTGTTATGCTATCTGATCTAGTGCTTCAGAACAGATTTGACAAACAGATTTATGTAATCTTCAGCAAATCTTATCTGCACGACTTCCAGTGTTTAGTTTATCCAACATCATTATAGAGCAGTTTTAGAGGACTTTACTGCTACATCATGTTAGTTTTATATCAGATGTCAGCTACCTTGTTACATCACATTAGGAAGACTTAATTAGTTCAGAAAACATACACTATAGAATGGTGCTTATAGATCAAGGTTTTTTTTAAAAAAACATATAGGAAAACTTTGTATTCAAAGGAGAACAAAAGATATAATGAAAAGCAAAGATTGGCTTTGAAGAATTGTAGGATAATGGAAAAACAAAAAAAAATTGACAGAATTATTGTTGGCCTTAATTAAAACATTAAACTTTCTCATGTTACATAATGTATTGATTATCAACGTGGGTTTTTATTTTATAGCTGATTTGTGCAGTTATAGAAATAAAAGACTGATTCCTGATACAACAGATGTATATTAAATTATTGCAGTTGTAACAGTACCGAGGAAGCAAGGGAAAACAATCATAAATACTAAACTAACTGAACACCTCAAGTTCACTAATGTGTGTTTTGAATATGACATTTTTCTCTCCCCATCCCACCCCTCTCCAGCAAATTATTTGTACACCATGGAACATTAACAATCAGTTTTTATAAGTGCACAGAAATGCCCCTTTTTTACAGTAAAATGTTATCATGCCTAGTCTGAAGTAAACAACAGAAGTAAATTCAGATCACAGCTCCAAAGAATTTTCACATGCATAGGAGTTGTTTCTTTCAATCGGTATACATACTAGATGAGCCATTTTTCTCTCTTTTGAAGTCAGTTGATTGATGAGTTCATGGTTTATCAATAGGAAAAAAGAGAACACGTTATCAAAACTGGGTCCATCCTTAATTTTGCATTTGGCTGGAAAATAAACTCTGTGAATGGTGGTATGTGTCTTTGTTTTTGTTTTTTTTAATAGGTATTTTATTAAAAAGATTCTTTTCTACATTCCCATAGTAAGAAGAAGTTTTAATGGGAGACATTTCATTGTGCTCGTACAGTAAATGAAAAGAGTCACACAAGAGTTTATTCCAGAAAAGGTCCAGTTCATATAGAAATTCAATTTGGTTGTTCACTGCAGACAGTTCAATATTGAAAACTTAGCATACTTCGTATCTCTGGAATCCTTCCATTATCTGTGGCTGTTCTTTTTAACCCAGAGATATATCCCTCCTTCTTCTGAATCTTGACAGCTACTCAATGGTCTTTAGTCTACCTGTTTTATAAAGCAGATACTCGGACGATGTTTCCTCCTGAATACTGTGGAGAATCGTGTCTATTATCTCCTTCCGGGGTAGTCACAGGTGGTGTTGGGATGCTGATTATTGCTGTGGTTACATAAGGCTGCTCACAGTTTAGTTTTACACACTCTTCCATTTTGGCGTTTAAACTGGATCGACTAGAGAAGAGAGAAAAATAAATAGAAACAAATCATGTTTGTTTTCCATCTTTCCATGTCCCATCTGCTTTAGGGTTTTTATTCAATTCTAGTATATCAGAAAATAATCCAAGACGCATGTTGGTCAGGTCGCATATGTAGGAAACTTCATATTATTTCTTTGTTTGTTTATTTAGATTCTGCCTTTATTATTTTTTAAAATAATTCAAGGCAGTGAACATGCCTAATACTTCCTCATCCTCTTATTTTTCTCACAATCCTTGAGTTGGGCTGAGAGAAAGTGGTTGTCCCAAGGGCATCCAACTATTTTTTTCATGCCTAAAGTGGGACTAGAACTCAAAGTCTCTTGGTTTCTAGTTTGGTGCCTTAACTGCTAGATCAAACTATGTAGACGCTTACTGTTTCTGAATATCTTTTTCTTACATCTTCTACATTTACCTAGCTCAAGTGGATAGATTTGGAAGTGCTAAATGAGTTTAGTCTATTGTTTTGGAATGGTTCATGGCTTTTAAAAAAAAATCAACTCATGTATAATATTGGTCCATAATGAAATTAAGGATCTCATACATTAGCTTCAATTACACAACAGCTTACAAACCAACATTGAAGAAATGTAGACATCATATTTAGAGACTGAAACTCAGGTGGGCATGCACTCAAATAAAATGAAAGTTGGACAGGTTAATATGTTGAACTATCAGTTGTAAGAGGAAGTCTGACTATCAATACATTGAGATGCATATTTAAATAATTATTTATAAACTAACTTCCACTAGTTGGATCATAGGAATTTAATTCCCCGCCTATCATCAAACTAAACTAGTGTTTGGAGGTAGAAATTATTCTCATTTTCATTACATTCAAGCAACATTTTCCCAAATAAATGGTTTCTCAGTGCAGTGTTTCCTCTGTCCTGGGTGATTGTCACCTAAGGAACACAATACATTTATGTCTTTTAGAAAATCATGTTAACCTCGTGAAATTCATGGAGATTTGCCATAATGAAATCATCAAATTCCATTTATAATAAGATATAAATTGGAAGCTATAATGAAAAAGTACTGCCAGAAAGGCTCAACATTTTACACAAAAGAATCATGTAATGAATATTGATACTAAAGAAATTCATTCACTTCTATCCTACAATTTAAGTATGAAAAGGTTTTTTCTAGAATGCTTTAGACCAGAGGTGTAAAACTCAATTTCATTGAGGACCACATCAGGGTTGTGTTTGACCTCTGGGTGTGTGTGGCCAGGCTGGCGGTGGCCAGCTTGATGTCACTTATATCAGGTGCCTGTGATGGGCCAAGTGCTCTGCCAGCGAAAATGCGCTCCCAATCTCTGTTTTCAACTGGGACGGCCTCCTGCAACCCTCTGCCAGGGAAAGCAAAGCTCGGGAGGGCTGCATGCAGCCCTCCCGAGCTCTGTTTTCCCTGGCAGAGCGTTGCAGGAGGCCCTCCCAGCCAACAACAGAGATTGGTAGCCTGTTTTCACTGGCAGAGGTACCGCAGGCCAGTCCTTCGCTGTTTCAGGGGCCAGATCTAAGCACCCCATGGGCCGATCCGGCCCATGGGCCTTAACTTTCACACTCTTGCTTTAGACATAGCTTTAGCACCAGCAATTTAAAAGGTACCCACCAAATTACTATATTAAATATATTTTCAGCCATTTTTTAATTTCTTAAAATTATGCTTTACCTTTATTTGGAGGGACCTTGTCATGACATGACCACAAGGGATGATGCTTTTCCTTGTAGTATAGATTATTATTTGAAACACAGCAAGTACAAACAATCATCTATACATCTTGCTAATTTTTTGCCCTGGCAAATTTGAACATTTGATCAATTATACTATCTCGGAGCACTTTTACAACCGCAGTACCTGTTGGACAGAGGTGTTCTTTCCATGCATCTGATCTGAATAGTGCTGAGTTCTTGGACACTACTTGGACGGCTACTGATTATATTGGTGTTTGGGATGCGGAATGTCTTTTTATGTCGTCGGGAACAGCAAGAGCTTGTCATTCCTTGTTGAGAAGAAAGAGAAGGACTATGGCTAGATTGCCGGTTGACTGTAGAAACGTCCATACAGTTTTCTTCATAGGTTTGCTCATCCACAAAGTCATGGTTCTGGGCCGTAGACATAGATAGAAAAAGGCAGCATGAATGAAATGGTAGTGACTTATGCAAGATACTCATATTTCATTGGCAGCGATTTTTAACTCTAGTTATAGGCTATGTTTTTTTTTATTTAGTCCTTGCAAGGCCATTCTTAACAGGAAGTCAGAGCCCAAATACTACTGAGTAAAGGTGCATGGCATTTCAGGTTAATGAATGGAATTTTGTTCCAAAGTATAACCACCCCCTCATAACTATTAACTGAATTTAAGCAAATCCTGGAGTTTGAATTTCTTAAACTTAACACTTAAGAGCAACAAAAGCAATTACTTTTAAAATGAGCTGAGTCTCAGAGATTGCCTGAGATCTATAGGGATTGCTATTAAAAATTACCAATACCAATATATTACCTACAATAACACCAATTTAGGTCCTCTAGTTCACTCCATGCTGCATATTTTGGATCCTGATGACAGCTTGCCTGAGATATTGTAGATAATTAAAACAATAAAATAATATATCTGTGCTAATCATGCTTGATCTCAAAGACGAAGGGGAGAAATTGGAAGATGAAAAAAAAACAATACTTTCTCCTGTGTCTTTCTCTAATAAAACAAAAATAATCAAAAGGATCAGAGGTAATTTTTGAAGTTATAGAATGATGAAATTTAGCCCCATGAAGATATATGAAGGTCTGGTCACTACCAACCCACAATTCTACAAAAGAGCAGGTAATATCTCAACAGAGATAACTACTTGACCTAATTTCAAAGAGCAAAGAGCATAACATTTAAAATAAAAACTAAACTAAGGCCCAATATAGATAGGATCTAGTGTTTTAATCTTCTATAGATAAAAATTAAAAGCAGACGTACAAATATTAGAACCATATAATTAATTTCAAAGTTTACCTCCCTTCAATTGAAGGAAATTTTTTCCAAGTCCTTCTTTTAGATGTCCTTCAACCACATGTTGAATCTAACCCAGTGGTTCCCAAACTTGGCAACTTTAAGACTTGTGGACTTCAACTCCCAGAATTCTCCAGCCAGCAGTTGCCAAGTTTGGGAACCACTGATCTAACCCAACAATTTGTCATCAGAACTGGCAGAGAGGACCTGAGCTATTAGTTCAGGATTCCCACTCCTGGTCTGACATTCCCAATAATCAACACAATTGCAACAATGCCTACACTGAATGGTTCTTGGATCTGTTCTCCTTCTTTTGGCATTTCTTCCAGAAGCAAGGAATATGAAAAGGAGCAAGATGCAACATATACTTTGGACTGCTAAACAATGACTGTTGGTGAAGCTTAGTGACAAAAAGTGTGGATCACTATAGTTTCATCTTGGCTGCCCATGTTTAAATGGCAAATCAGCATAGCATTACCAAAGCATGGAGCAGTTCTTAGAGCAATAAGATCAACCAACATAATTTTTGTTTGTTTTTACAGATCACAAGGAGGCTGTCAGTTTATCATCTTACCGTGGTTTTTTCCAGACAGTGAAGCAGATGGTGGTGCTGGATTTCAAAGGAAGAACCAGATTTGTTAACAAAGGCCTCTTGTTCTTCACCATATAGCTGTTGATATATTGAATGATACATTATTCTCATTTGTGAAGGAATGGGCTTTAAATGAAATTCTTGACTTTAAAAAGGGTCAACCACTATAATCATCTAATATTAAATAGCATAAACTTTCTTTTTTAAAAAATCTGAATCAGTTTACTCTTATCTAACTTGATATAAAAGTCAAGACAAGCAAGTCACTTGTTCACTGAATTTTTCAACATGACATTGGCCATCTCAAAATCAAGCCTTAGTGATTTTTAGTCAAGTGAACTTTCCCCAATCTGATGTCCTCTAGATTGTGGGAATCAACCTCCCATGCTCTCTGGAAATTAAGAGAGTTGAGGTTCAACAGTTTTGGAAACGAACCCCCTGAGGCAAACAACAACAACATTATTGCATTTGTCAGTTTGTATCAATGGGGCCAACAAATGCAGGATGAAAGCACTGATGTGAGCAATCCAGGAAAAAAGCAGCCATTCAGTGAAAAGTTGGATATGATTAGCATCAGTGCTATACTGAATAGAACTCTCTAGAATAATCCTGGGGAAGTTCATCGTATTTCAATGAATAACAATAACAATAAAATGTTAATTCTAATTTTCTATTGAAAATATCCTGCCACAGTTTAAATGTGTGAAGTAATCAAGTCTTTTTCTCTTTTCCTTTGTCCCCCTCTTCTAGGCTGTCCTTCCATTTGAATGTTCTTGTCAATAGGAGTGATTGTTTGTCATTTGAACTTCATTGCTTTAAGGGTTTTCTATGCTGCATTATAGGAGAAAAAGATATGTCTGCCATTCAACACAAAACCCATATCAATATTGCTACTATCTGCCAAATACCATCTTAGAAAGTGTACAAAAATCAGTATAGCAGCAACAAGCAATAAAGTCTTGTTAAATAAATGAGTTCCTGAAGGTGGGGGAACAATTGAACCACACTTAGTAAAGGAAATCATTCTAAGAATTGTGCTACTAAAGGACTGGTGTTTTATTGCTGCTGCTGCTGCTACTCCTGCTACAACTCTAATATTTCTTAGGCAGCCTAAGAAAGTGGTTTAGTTAACTAGTTACTAACATTTGGATTTCTACCATACTCTGCTTACTATGGGAAGTCCTCAATTTACAAACATTATTGGGACCAGAATTTCTGTTTCCAAGCAAGGCAATTGTTAAATGAGTCACAACCAATTTTATAACTTTTTATCACAGTTGTTAAGTGAATCACTAAAGATGTTAAGTGAATCATAAAGTTGTTAAGTGAACCCAGCTTCCCCGATTGACTTTGCTTGTCAGAAACTAGCTGAACAGATCACAATTGGCAATCACATGCCCCCAGGATGTTGCAAAAATCTGCCAGTTGCCAAGAGCACAAATTTTGAACATGTGACCAAATGGATGCTGTGATGGTCAGAAGGACAAAGACTAGCCATAAATCACATTTTTCAACCCTGTTTTCACTTTTAACAGTTGCTAAATGAATGATTGTAAGTCAAGGATTATCTGTGCTCTCTATTATTTCCTGCTCCATGGATGTACTCGACAAAACCCTCCTGCCATTTACGGAGTAGGAAATAAAAGCCAGAGGCGATCCATTAAGGCAGGGATGGCGAACCTTTTTCTTACGGTGTGCTATTGCACATGCGCATGTGCCAACACCAATTAAATCCTTCCTGCCCACGTGCGCATGAATGTGTGACCCACCCTGCGCATGCATGCATGATCTCTCCCCAGGTTCTGGATGTTTTTTTTGAAACCTGGGAGGATGAAAACGGCCTTTGGTTAGCCATCATGGCATTAAGGGATCAAGAAGGAAAGAGAGTTTGAGCTAAACATTCCTCCAGTATTAGAAAGCTTCGAAGCTACTTAGTCAAAATTTGAAGTGTCTTTGAAATTAAAACCAAAAGTGACTTATGGTGGTGGCCAGAACAATATGTGAATTTAGTGGGTGTGCATGCATGTATCTTTGTACAGACATATATGTGTGGCAAGGTAAACAGCCCTCAGAGGACAATTTTAGACTTCTGGGAACCACATGACAAACTCAAATTCTCCATCATGTATTAATTTGACTTTACAGGTCCCAGAAACTCAACTGGGACATCTTGCCTGAACTGGACTTGCAAAGCTCTTGCTAGTTTTGAGCAATTACTCCTTCTTCTGCCTGAGGGTGACTGTCATGGTATATTGTAAGGCAGCCTGACATTTTCCGATATGAAACAGAGAAAGGATTGCTGGGCTATTATTAAATAAAGGATGTTTCTGGATATAGAACACAGATCGCTCTTTACCTGCAGCTGCTTATGGAGGAAGCCGTTTCTCTTGCTCTGCATGTAAGCATTTGCACTCCCACTCTTTGCTGCACGGATCCTTGCAAGCCGGGCTTTCTGGGGCGGTGGGGGAAGGAGGAGGAAAGAGAAAGAAGTGTCACTTGCTTTTATAGCCCTCATATTGTTTTCAAAGAAAGGTAATACAGCTAATTGAAAAGATTTCTCCTGAATACCCCAGCTCTCTAATCACCAAAGGGCCTCTTTCAACTGGCTCTCCAGGTGCAGCGTTTCACATTTCCAATGCAAATGATCAAGAAGCATTCATTTCTCAGCAGGCAACAGCCCACAAGAACAATGCCTGGGCTTTGAGTCCATTGACACCTTTATACATTAGACAGATTGTTTCCCCGTTTCTACAGTCAAGGTCATTGTGTCACTGTTGATACCTGGAGATGAGGAACCCTGCTGTCCTATCGTTTTACCTGCACCCTTCCTGAGGCCGCCATTAAAAAAAAAGCTCCTTCAGAAAAGTGCACAAGATGAGAAGGACTTTAGAACTGTTCAACCGCAGAGAAGTGTCATGTGGGGTGATTCAGAAAAATCTGATTTGTACAACCCGGTGAGAACCAAACCAACGGTTCTCTGTTTATCTGCTGGGAGGAGAAATTTCTGAAAGCAGTACGTAGTGTAGAGTGGAGTTTAAGTTACTTTTTTGGATGCACTCCAGGGTACTAAAGAATTTGAACAAAGACTTCTCAAATTGTCTCCTTTGATTTGCCACTATCAAGGGAGCCTAGTAATTTCCATCTTGAAGCAGAAACAACAGTTATAATTAATACATGGAAAATATGCTCTCTCCTCATTAGGCCAGAGAACACCATGAAGAAGTAAAAAGCCGGTGGACTGAGAAACGGCAATCTAAGGAAGTCATGCTAAATTAAACTCCCAAGTTCTCTCTTTTTGCTTCATTTTCTTTCTTAAAAAACAAAAGACTCTAATGCCACAACTGAATAAGTGGGTTTGGATTTTGTCTTAGGTGCTGAAACTTATGGGGAAAAAAATCCTTCTAGAGCCGTGATGGTGAACCTATGGCATGCGTGCCTGAAGTGGCACGTGGCACCATCTCACCCGGCATGTGCGTGTCACCCATTCCTCTTCTGGGTCTCTGGCATGCATGTGCACGTGATGATGAGCTGGGCTTTGTGCGTGCGGCAGTGCCAGAAACTGGAAGAGCTGGTCTTCCGTTTTGCAGAGTGAGCATGCGTGACAGCCAGCTGATCATCACGTGTGCATGCGCGCCAGAAACTAGAGGTTCATTTTCTGACACATGCACACCCCCTGGGCAGCTCCTCTTCTGGGTTGTGGCCCTGATAAGCATGCATGCTCCCTTTTTGGCACTCGGTGCTGAAAAGGTTCACCATCACTGTTCTAGAGCAAATAATGGTACAACTCTACTTAATCTACTGTATGTCAAGTTTGGACTTTCTCTCTTGCAGTTAGAAAGATGAGGGACATTTGTAAATTACATTTCACGGTACACTATAATTATAATAAAATCATTTAAAAGCAGTCATAAGATTGGAAAAGGCAGGGCATATTCTCAAACAAAAGGGACCCTCTTGGATTACCTCCTTTGCTTGATAAGGAACACTCTATTTTAATACATCATCAGGATAAAGTTTTAAGTAATATACTCTTTTGTTCCTAAGATACAATGAAAGTTTCCTTACAGAGTGTACTGGATGATTCCGAAGATGCTTAATTAACTTCAGCTATGTTACAAATATAAAGTGGTACAGAAAACAGTGATATACATTCTCTGGGTCTCTTCCTGGATTTAAACTTATAATAATTCTATACACACATGTTCCTTTTCGGCTTGTTCATTGATGCTGCATTCTGAATTTTTCTACAGCAATTACATTGTCTGAAGTATTAAATATGTTGGCAACCTAGAGTAGTGAAGGTGGAGCTCCTGTGTTCAGCCTGTCAATAACTAGGAAAATTTCCAACTTGACTTTGTAGATGGTGTTCTCTCTTCTATTGACAGACCACTGCAGCCTACTCATGGCTGCTCTGGATTGGATGAAGCCTTCGTTCTTGAAGCAGTTTTGGAAAATGCTCTTCTGCAGCTTCAAGTATGTGGAACCCGTTCTCACATGTTTTTCACAGGTTCTATGCAAGATTATAGCCATCTCACCCAACTTCCAGAAGGTCTGGAGGCCGCACAAGAGCACACCTCATTCTCATATGGCATCCACAGCTTCTGAAAATTGTGTGAGAATATGCTTTCATTTATAGTTATTGTTATATGTTGGTAAATACAGGTGTATCATCTGAAATATTATGGTACAATACTTTTGACATGCATGTCATAGTTTCATCATCGCTGGCTTAGAGTTTTGTAAAGATTTCACAGATTTATATTACAATTCTATTTAGGAAAACAAAATTTACACCAATAAAACAAAACTCCTTATCCTATTCTCAAATCCTATAAGACTTTAATACGTCAATTCTCTCTATTTCAGTGGACAGAATCCTTCCCCCTTTCCTTAAAGGTTAAAGGTTTATTGCATTTATATGCCGCCCTATTCCCGGAGGGACTCAGGGCGGCTAACAAACCCGGGGGGGTGGTGGGGTAGTACACACAAGGTAACACAACAAACAAATACAGAGAAAAGTTTAAAAACAATCAACAGTCACCCAATTCGAGCGGGGAAGGGAACTCATCAACCCCAGGCCTGCCAGAACAGCCAGGTTTTAACGGCTTTATGGAAAGCCTGAAGGGAGGTGAGAGTCCGAATCTCTGCGGGGAGTTCGTTCCAGAGGGCCAGAGCAGCCACAGAGAAGGCCCTCCTCCAGGTGGTCGCCAATCAACATTGGCCAGTAGATGGAATC